TTGTCCTCTGAATCATTCAGATGTTCATTGGCAAACTTCAGACGGGACCTGTATATGTGCTTTCTTGAGCAGGGGGACCTTGCGGGCGCTGCAGGATTTCAGTCCTTCACGGCGTAGTGTGTTACCAACTGTTTTCTTGGTGACTATGGTCCCAGCTGCCTTGAGATCATTGACAAGATCCTCCCGTGTAGTTCTGGGCTGATTCCTCACCGTTTTCATGATCATTGCAACTCCACGAGGTGAGATCTTGCATGGAGCCCCAGGCCGAGGGAGATTGACAGTTATTTTGTGTTTCTTCCATTTGCGAATAATCGAACCAACTGTTGTCACCTTCTCTCCAAGCTGCTTGGCGATGGTCTTGTAGCCCATTCCAGCCTTGTGCAGGTCTACAATCTTGTCCCCGACATCCTTGGAGAGCTCTTTGGGTCTTGGCCATGGTAGAGAGTTTGGAATCTGATTGATTGATTGCTTCTGTGAACAGGTGTCTTTTATACAGGTAACAAGCTGAGATTAAGAGTGTGCTCCTAATCTCAGCTCGTTACCTGTATAAAAGACACCTGGGAGCCAGAAATCTTTCTGAGAGGGGGTCAAATACTTATTTCCCTCATTAAAATGCAAAAAAATTTACAACATTTTTGACATGCGTTTTTCTGGATTTTTTTGTTATTATTCTGTCTCTCACTGTTCAAATAAACCTACCATTAAAAATATAGACTGATCATTTCTTTGTCAGTGGGCAAACGTACAAAATCAGCAGGGGATCAAATACTTTTTCCCTCACTGTATGTTGAACTTCTTTTGCAAAGTACGTTCAACATACACACATACGGTGCGGGGGGAAGGACAACAGATTAAACACATAAAAGTTGCCTCAAGGAGACCGTCAACCCACATGCATTGTAGCAGCGAGTTGATCTGTTTATAGAGCGGCATTCAAATTCTATTATGTTCTTGCGTATGATGGCAATATGTTCAGGAGCTACCAATGCTCTAGGTCTGCTCGCCACAAGAGGGCTTTCAGGAGAGAGTTTGTCTCGCTTTGCTATACCTGTGTGACAGCCACCTGCCTACCACCCACGATGTGCGTCACCCACCTGTGCTCTACAAACATCTATGGCGCCCAACCTGCATTACGTGTCACGCAACCATCAGCCACGCGTGCGCGCGCGCCCCCCACCTGCGCATCGGTGCGGTGCTGGGCGCGCGTGTCCCACACTTTCACCACGCGGTCTCCGGCCGTGGCGAAGAAGCGGCCGTCCTCGCTCACGTCCGTGGAGACGCAGCGCGTGTGGTGAGCCGCCGAAAGCTGCGCGTCCGGGAACGAGACGGCCAAAAGTGAGTGAGGGCTGTGCGTGTCCACACTCCACCTCCCGAGGAGAGGGGTCACCGTGCTTTTCGAGTGGAGTATGCAACAGCCAGGTGGCAGGTGGCAGTTGTGTTACCCCTCAAACGAAAGATGTCACACGTGTTAAGAAGTCACACCTAAACAGAGATTCACAGAGAGTTACGAAAGACAAAAAGTCAGTGAGCGACAGGTGCACGAGTGGGATAAGAGTTCAATCCTCAATGTGCAGGTACATCTGGAGCTACCACGAGTGAAGTCACTGGTTGACTGGCCCCTGAAACTCGTAGACTTACATAGAGACACATAGACTCGTAAAGACCCATATACGTCTGCAGATACCACACATGACGTTACAAGTTGACTCACAAAAAAAACCCATAGACTCACAGAGAGACCAACAAGTTGACAGAGAACCACTGACACGTAAAACTCACATAGATAGAGACCAATAAAAGTTTAGTGACATCAGGGATGTCACTTGTATGGTGCCGGCCCGAGAGGGCCGTGGCGTGCGATGTCCCTACATCACGGACAGCACCGGGTGGGTTGCTGTGTGAGGCCGGCTCTAGCAGAGCACGGCGTGCGATGCACTGTCATCGCGTACACCCCGTAGGTGGGTGTATTACCAGCCCTAGCGGGGCTTGGTGAGCGCTGGGATAGCGCGGGCACCACGCATAGCGTGTAGTGCGGGCTCCCACAAGGGGGAGCGGGAGAGTGTCAGCCCAGGGACAGGGTTGCCCCGTCCATGGCACTCTGGTTGACCCCGTAGGCACGTGATATAGAGTGTCCACAGAGAGGGCCCCAGGTGGGGGGGGGGGGGGGGGCTAGAGGGTGATCACGTGTCCGGGGAGAGCTCTGAGAGGGATCAGGAGGGAGCTAAAACGCTCGAGAAGGCGGGCGGGGCCAAGGGCGGAGCCAGCCCCGACTCAGGAGGATATAAGGTGGGTCCCTGAGAGAGTTCGAGGTCGCTGCATTCTACAAGCTGGAAGCTCCACATCTACAAGCTGGAAGCTCTACGTCCTACGAGGCATCAACACGTGGTTGGGGATCCGAGTGAGGGTCTGACCCTTCGTAGCTGTAACTCTTCCGTATAGGGCAGTTAGCTGGGTGGTCACCACCCTAGGCTGTATCTGGTGAAGGGGCAGTTACCCCTTTGTGTTAACGGGTTGATGTTGCCTCTAAAGAACAACATTTGTGACTCAGTTTGATTCACTACAAACCTACAGAGACCCATATTAAATTACAATTTTTTTTACATTTTACCAGGTAAGGCTCACCGAGCTATATAGCTCCTTTTCAGAAGTGACCTGGCCACAAATTATAACTCAACGAAGTGGCTTATCATGTGGAAATGTATAGCAGCCAAATACTCCAGAATTCCACGTAACTCTCTCATTGTCCTCTGCCCCAATCCACCCACCCCCTCTCTCTCTGCCCCACCCCCTCCCCCCTCTCTCTATTTAAGGCACCGACACAGTGACGCTGTCTTTCTGCTTGTCATTCTTTGGAGGAGCGTGGTCTGCCAGGTAGGGTGTTGGCTGTTGTGTTGGCCGGCTCTCTGTATTGTGTTGCATTGTGTTTCTAAGTTTACTATGTTTGTTTTTTCTCATTCATTCTTACCTGATGATGGCCGCTTGTGTTGCAACCGAAACTTCGTATTCTATTATTATTTATTTTCGACGTGACTTTACCGAAAGAACCAAAGAGTAACTCTAAATGCATGTTTCGAAATACGGAGGGAAAATCCGGAGGACCTGGAGTAAAAGCCACACGATCACGGGGAGAACATGCAACTCCGAATATACAGGTGTCAGGGTTGGGATTGAACCCACGTCCTCCTGCATGCCAGGCGAGGTAGTTAACATCTCGCCACTGTGGTACCCCATATACTTAAGAGACCCACAAGGCAAGCCAATCCTGCATGTGCAGGTACGTCCGCGGACTCCGCAAGCGGAGTCACTGAATAAGGGTTGTGCAGCCTCCCATTTCTCTGTGCCTCTCTCTCTGCAGAGCATCAGCTCGCTCACGCTCGGTCCCGCGAGTCCGCGGCCGCATTTCCGGCCGCGCCGTTTGCATGGCGCACCTCTCGGAGGTTGCGGCCCGTCGCCGCGTCGAGGATGACGATCCTGCGGGATCGGGTGAGCACCAGCAGCCGGCTCGAGTCTGGAGGCGCGAAGCGGACTGCCAGCGCCCGCTCGGGCCCCGGGTCCTCGTGCCCCGTGGCAGTGCCGGCGCTCACGGAGACTCGCAGCACCTGCGGGCGGCACCCACGGGGGTCGCGGAGGTGTGTGAGCACGCGCCAGCGGTTCTGTACCGATAGAGAGGAATAACTCTGCTCCGTCATCATCGTCATCAGCAGTAGCCGTGATCAATTCACAGCTGGATGAAGGCCTCCTCCAAGCCGTCATCACCTATCGTGGTTCGTTGACGCAACGATTCATCTAGTACCTGCGCATGAGCTGAGCTCATTGCTCCTATCTCCGCGGTGGACATACTCTCAGATGTGTTACCACCTCTTGACTACTTTGGCTCACCGAATCAAAAGTGGCTGGTTTGTAATAGGAGTTGCATAACTTACTTTCCCCAAAATGGAATGTTTTCTCGTTAACAGTCACTACTGGCGCCATGTGACAATAATGTATGCGTATGTTTTAAATTAGTTATCTGATTAAAGCTGAAATTGGTTAGAAGCCATCACGTATCCGATTAGCACGGTTGGCTATGTACGGTGCGAAATAAGTTCAACATACATACAAGCGTATACTTTATTAATATTGATATCCACCAGGATCCTCTTTACAGAATGTATACAGTAATTCGTAAATAAAAATGCACAAACAGTGAAACCGTAGACTACCAGACTCATAGAGAGGAGCCCCGGTCCGGATAACTGAAATATTCCGGGTTGCTGCGATTTCACATTTACACGTACACATGGACTACTATACTGTGTACTGTATAGTGTATGACGCATAAAAAAGTACAGTACTTGTGGTGTGTACCGTACAGTATTGCAGTGAAGCTTGTAGGTCTGAGGGTGCACAGCTCCCCGCAACCCCCCTCCCCTATCACCCCTCTGCCTGCCGTCCCCCCACCACCCCTACCTCAACCCTCCCCTTCCCCTATCATCCCTCCCTGCCACACCCCACCACCCCTACCTCAACCCCCTTCCCCTATCACCCCTCTGCCTGCCGTCCCCCACCACCCCTACCTCAACCCCCCCCTCCCCTATCACCCCTCCCTGCCATTCCCCACCACCCCTACCTCAACCCCCCCCTTCCCCTATCACCCCTCCCTGCCACACCCCACCACCCCTACCTCAACCCCCCCTCCCCTATCACCCCTCCCTGCCATCCCCCACCACCCCTACCTCAACCCCCCTTGCCCTATCACCCCTAAACACCCCTACCTCACCGTCCTTCCCCTATCACCCCTCTCCCCCCTCTCCCTGCCGTCCCCCACCACCCCTACCTGAACCCCCCTTCCCCTATCACCCCTCATCACCCCTACTTCTCCGTCCTTCCCCTATCACCCCTCCCTGCCGTCCCCTCAACACCCCCCCCCCCCTTCCCCTATCACCCCTCCCTGCCACACCCCACCACCCCTTCCACATCCCCCACCCCTTTGAGACTCAGTGGTTCTTTGCTGGGTAAACAAACAAGCCGAGTAATAATAAAATACATTGCCAAGAGATGCTCTTCTTATGGTTTACGGTTAGACGTGAGAGACAGGAAGGCGATGAAGCGACGCCGGCGGGAGTGGGGACCCGCAGGCGGAGCACACGAGGTGGGTAGAGGGGGTATAGCCTCACCTCCTCCAGTGACCGCGCGTCCATCACCGTCACCGCATCCTGGCTGGGCCCCACGAACGCTAAGCGTTGTCCGTCAGTCGACAGGGCCAGGACGCTCGGGGCGTCGTCTCCGTCGTGCTCCTCCTCCTCATCGGCCGCCCGTCTGCCCCTTGTTGCGACAACGTTCCCTGCAGTAGCAGTTCGGAGGAGGTGAGGCCTCTCATCGCTAAAGCCCCTCAACCTGGCACACTCCCCATTAGGAGAGCAGTGTGGGGGGCGGGGGGGAACTCATGAACTCGAGCTATTGTAAACTTTTCATGGCCACAATTATTATCATGGCCCGTGAGTGAAAAGGTCTAAGAAATGGGAGTCCCCACAATCTTGTAACGACAGGATGATAAGAGCTTTACCAACATCTTGCTGAACAAACACTGCATCAGTAAATAATTGATTACAAGTATAATTAAGGAAAAGCTTCACTAGCCTAAGTGAGGCTTTCTTGAATATCCTGGGCTATTTTGTCAGATAAACAATCCATTTATTGTACTGCCATCTACTGGCCAGCAACATAGTCGATGGAAAAAAGTACATTTCTACACTTGAACCTTTTTAACATCAACATTAATGGGTGGGGCGAGTCCATGGAGGATCTTGAAGACAAATCCCAGTCAGCCCTTATTTTTATTCTGCCTGTATGTATGTAGAACTTTTTTAGCACATTACGTAGCCAACCGTGCTCATCAGAGATGTGGGGGAAGGACAACAAACTAAACTGAACTGCCTGAAACAGATTGTACATTCCTGAAAAGTGCTTCCTGGGGGGAAACAAATAATTCAGGGAACTATACCTTCATTGACACCAGTGCCTGTGCAGCCAGTAGCAAGACAGAGTTAAACACCCATTGGCACGCGGGCTCACCCAGCACCCGGAGCGCGGGCAGGTCGTCGTCGGACGCGTCGTACATCGCGAGGCTTCCGAGCGAGCAGGCGCTGTACATGAATTCTCCACTGCGTGAGAACGCCAGGGCAGTGATCTGGCCTCTGTGCTGCCTGTATCGTGGAAGCGGTGACACACCAAATACAAAGATCCCGCCTGTACAGCCTTTAACCGACTGTTGGGGCAAGTGCTGTTAGTGAATAGCACCTATGAAGGCCGGCACGGCACACGAGGGGGTGGGTGGCCAACACCATGCCCGGCCGCCTTTGTTTCCCTCACGGTGAAGTTTACATACACACCGTACTAGGTACTCATTTGAGGCTGAGTCGACTCAGGGGAGGCCCAGGACCGGTTCAGATAAACATCACTGGGATTGGCCGTGAGCGGGAATCGAACTCGTGTTGCCGGGTTCGTAGTGCAGTGCGCTAACCACTACACTACCGCGGTGACACACCCCACACGTTTACTACATATACGCAGACACTCACATTTGCAGCATTACCATACACCTCGATACAGTAAATTAGTGTACGGTCCCTTGCCAAGGCCCTGCTAGAAAGTCGTCTCGCCATGGCAGGTCCGTTATGGGGGTTGTTTGGCCATACTGCATAACGCTTGGTCAGTGCGGGAATGATAAAGTGTGGGTGACACTGGGCACATGGTCAGATATCACTCGACCTCGGGCCGTCAAGTTCGTAGCGCAATGTGCTGTTTGTTATACTGTCACTTCACGGCCTATAAACACCTGAATATTATCAGCAGCAGGCATGCAAAAATGAACGGCACTGATTGAGTAAACTCGTTACGCGCGGCCAATCATCATCGGTGGTGCACGGATGTCTCGATCACTTTACTTGTGCTCCGCCAGGAGGGCGGTGCTGGCGACGCTGAATGCGCGCACCGAGCCGTCGCTGAAGCCGCACGCGAGCAGCTGGCGCACCGGGTGGCAGCACACGACACACGGCACCACCGCCAGCGTCGAGAAGTCCAGCAGCTGCCGCGCATGAGCACAGGGCAACAAGACGGTAATGACACGGTAGTGACATGGTGATGACACTGCAATGACACGGCGACGACACGGCGACGACAGGATAACGACACTGCAATAAAACGGCCACCATAACAGCACGGTAAGGACACTGCAAAGACATGGCAACGATGCGGTAATGACACGGCAACACGACAATGACACAACAACAGAGTAACCACACGGCAATGACATGGTAACAAATCTAAATGAGTAAGCGACTTGCATAGCGCCCGTGTATCTTTTTTAGGGTTGTTAGCCGATAACCGGTAAACGTTTTCAGCATTCCGAAAGTCAGGAAGCAGTAACGTTTTATTTTCTAGTGGAATGTGAGTAACGAATGCACTGATTGGTACATGCGTACGAAAAAAACGCATGGCAGTAATCCACCGCGTGGAACACATACCTTCTTGGTTAGGTTAAAAAGAAGATATCTTCATATGTTAACTACTCAAGACATTTCTGTATGTGCGGCGAACTGGTAACCTTTATTTAACCGGTTTGCTTCATGTGGTTTCTGATCATGCAAAAAACATTTAAAGTGAAAAAGCAGACGTAGAAAATCTTGCTTTTTGGGCGAATGGGGGCAAACTGATTAACACAAAGTTAAGTAAACAGGGATGTGTGTGGCATCCGCACACATTTGGAAGAGAAAGACGATGCTTCCTGCATCATTTCTAAAAACGTGGCCTTTGGAGGCAACAGAACTCTGAAAGAGGCAAAACGCGAGAAGCACAGGTACCTGCTGGCCGCTGTCCGAGTCCCAAACGCGCACGCTCGCATCGCGCCCCACGGTGACCAGGTGGCGCAGCGCTCCGTCTGCCGAACAGCCCAGCACGGGCCCGGCGTGCGAGCGCGCCAGCGTGGCGTAGTGGCGCGACGCCACCTCCAGGAAGCCCAGGCTGGCGCCCGCGGGCCCTGCCGTGGCGGCCAGCACACGCCGCCCATCTGCCGAGATCGCCACCGCCGACACCGGGGCCTCGTGCTCTGCGTCAAAAGCAAGCAAGCATGGAACGCCATTGGCGTCACGGAGGATGGCCGAGAGGCTGTCGCCATCACACCGGGCAGACTTGGGGTATGTGTGTATGTTGAAATTCATATTCTTGTGTCTTTTGTTGGAAGCTAACCCCCCTTTTCCTGAAGACGACCGCTTGTGTTGCGATCGAAACGTCGTAGTTTTTTGTTATTTTCTTTGAACCTATCTACGTGACTTTACCGAAAGATACAAGAATATGAATTCCTGCAGTCACGAAAGAAGCTTTAAGTCAAGATATGTTGAACTTCTTTCGCACCATAGGCAGCTAACCATGATAATCGGAGGTGCGGTGAAGGACAACAAACCAAACACAAAAAGCAGTTCTAAACACAAGAAGGGGCGGCGAATAAGTCTCTGGTACCCACCACTTAAAATAGTGCGAGTAAAAGTTTGAATCTGATAAATAAAAAAATTGTCACCAACACTGCGTGGGGGAGGATATTTTTTTCACTTTTTTTCGTGAAATGTACTGCTAAAATAACATTTGTGGCAGTCTCAGCTCCTGACGAAGGACAGATACGCTTGTGTTTAGCTCCTGTCCATAACGTGTAGAGCAATTTTAACCATCTTTTCTCACTGCAGAGGCATCTTGCAGTGCTATTCTTTCATCATATAAAATATGTATGGCTCATTAGCATGAGAACTTTCAAATGGTGTCGCTTATTGCACAGATGCTGTAGCCGAGGGTATGGGCAAATAAACACGACTGAACCTGAGGTGGACACTTGAACCCACGCTAGCCACATGCCACATTAATTCACCACGTGCCCTATCCCACCGGCTACAGCTCTTCCACTAAACGAAACTATTTTTTATTTTACCAGGAAAGGCCCACTGAGCTGTGTAGCTCTTTTTCAGAAGCTACTTGGCCACAAATGATTGTTCAACGAAGTGGCTCATCACGTGGAAATTTCTAGCAGCCAAGTTCTCTCAATGCAGGTCTCTAAATGTGGAGAGAAAGCCAGAGGACAGGAGAGAAATCCACGCAACCACAGGGAGACATGCACACTCCAAATATACATTCGGTGTCAGGGTCGGAATCGAACCCATGACCTCCTGCATACAAGGCGAGGGAGTTAACATCTCGCCACCGCGGCGCCCCCTTTGATAGACGCTCTGGTATTCCTATTAAACATCTGCGGCACTGCCTTACTCCTACCCTTCCAGCCTCCACTCCGTTGCCCCACCTCCTTCACAGTTAATTGAACCCCCCCCCCCTACCCCCCCCACCCCCCGACTTGTGACGGCCATACTGAGCGGAGCGTCACCTCGTCACTGGGCAATTTTGGGCCTGACGGATGTGCAGATCGGCGTGGAGGGGATTGCTCCCAAAGAGCACTCTCTCTACCTGGAGTGCTGCCCCCCCCTCCTCGCCCGTGTGTCAGTCTCACCGGCTTCCAGGAGCATGGTGGAGAAATCCAGCAGCCAGAGCCGCAAAAAGCCGTCGTCGGAGCCCGTGGCGCACAGTCCCTCCGACACGGACATGCTGTTTATCCCGATGCCCGGTCCTGATGGGATCGAGTATTCACAGGGAGATAGTGTCATAATCTTTGGGACCTTTTTGGCCAGTATCAGAATGATGAAAAAATATAAGAGGCTTGACCCTTTGTGGTAATAAAACAAGTGGTGTTAAATGTTGAAATACCAAATAAACACCTATTACAAAGGCATCGATACTGCATTAACTACATATACGTGGCAAAACATCCAAACAAACATGCTCGGATAATATCTGCATCGTCTTTGAAACTGATTGGCCTACACCAGACAGCCTTCTTTATGGCTTAGTCTCACCAGTTAGACCAGATAACGCCAAAAGGCGACCAGTACAAAGGCAATGCAAGTACAGAGATTCCTCCATTGATGAACATTCGACTTGTTAATTTTTAGAGATATGAACAAACTGGTCTGTTTAACACGTAGACTTTCGCGACCAATATCATCCATAATGCAGTTTTTTTTTAGTTAGATTGTGTAAATATAAATGTGTCATTAAACCCGCCACCACTTGACACAAATAATTAGTAAGGTTTGTCACGTAAACAGAGAGCATGCCAATTTGTTACTTGTACAGCACACCGGTGTGTTGTTTGTCCAGTTGTATGTCCAGTTGCCTGTTCAGACCAAGAGTCGTAAGTTCAACCGCCACGCAATAGATGGCGGTGGTGGCATCTACATCTACAGAATGTGAAGAACCGGTTGCATTTACATCTACAGGAGATTATACAACTTTTAAAGCCATTCCCCATGTTTAGTGTACACGCCGTACAACATGTTGGAATCGACAGGAGTAAAGTTGGAACAAATCGACTTACGAACAGACCTCTGGAACCTAACTCGTTCGTAAGTAGAGGAGTCCCTGTATGAAAGTATAAATAGATCGGGTTGAGCACTTATATCTACGGGACGTTTTTGCCAGTATCAAAATTATGAACAAAATTAGCCTTTTTATGCTTGCCAGTAGCCATATAAATTGCCACGACAGTTTATACGGACACACTCGCGACTGCAATATCTGGTTGTCAGCAGCCATGCGAGACACATAATTGAATCAAATAAACTATCATCACAGTAGGGATACAATCACTGACATGGAGGCTATTTGTACCTATTCCTTCTCTTAAGATCAAACACCGCCTGTAGTAGAGCAGTAGTGCAGAGGGTCAAGGAGGAGCAGGGGGCAGAGAGTGGCAACAGACGCAGGGAGGAGAACGCAGGGGGATGGCCGTAGATGGCTCACACAAGGCACAGGTCATCGTTGGTGGCATGGCGGTCCTGGCTCACCGGACGGGGGGGCACGCTTGCCAGCGTCGTAGCTGGCGCGCACGCCCGGCGATGGCAGCAGGCGCCGCACATTGCGTATGGTCACGTTCTTGTAGTCGATCTCCAGGATGTGGCCCGACTTGCTGCAGGCAAAGCTGTGGGAGCACAAACGCGATGGTCTTTTGCCTACTGCACCGGGGGGGTCGGGGGTCACTGTGTTTGAACTACGGCGATAATCTAACAAAAACAAGAGATGGGAACTCATACAATAAATAAGCTGAGACCTGGCCAGAGCCGAGCAAGGGCTCTTTCTGACTGGAAGGAACGATGAACTTATGGTATTAATAATAATGATAAAGCACTTCATAGTGAGCACAGATTTTGCAAATCGGCACAACTTTCGATCGAAAACTCGGAGGTGTAGAGACAAAGCTCAAAGTCTCTCATGTGATCCTGACCAGGTAAGAGCCTGAACAGGTGAGAGCTTGAACAGGTGAAGGTCTGAAGAGGTAAGAGCCTGAACTACTGCTTATGGGGGATGGTGCTTGGATGCTGCGTTTGTGCAGTGGGAGAGAAGAGTTTTAGATGCCTGGTGCAGCAACGGAGAAACTGCCGCTCAGCCAAAACAGTCCTTGTTTTGGGGACAATGAGGTTGTTGCCGAGCTACGTACGAACATTAACCGAGGTTATAAAAAAAACCCAGGATTATGCTGTTGAAGGCAATACAAGTTACTTTCTGACACACCACGACTAGACATCAGTGAAAAAGAGCTTCATTGCTCATTAGATTTCTCCAGGATAAATACCGACTCTGATTCTGAAGTTTCCACTGCTTGCGCATGTCATACTAGTCAGATGGAGGGTGACGCCCAAGGAGGCTTCTGATCACCTGTGTGAACTTATTTTTGAAAAGCTCACCCGGAGTAGAGGCACAGAATAGAAGTAGATGGAGAAGGGAAACCCGAGCAGCCGACCCGATGCAATAATGAACGTTGGCTATATAGTATCCCTCGCTTTCCACAAGGGATACGTTCCAGAGATGCTTGTGATATTAGCCTCAAATAAATAACAAAGCTATTAAATACGTGACAATTACGTATCTCTTTCATCACTTTCTCTCGAATCACTTTAATTAGTTTATCCGCATCACATTCCTCTCATCACTTTATCTCTTATCACTTTATCTGATCACTTTCTGGCATCACATTCTCTTTTATCACTTCATCTCATCACTTTCTTTCCCTCTCTCTCGATTCAATCCTGTAGAGTTCCAGATGTGATTCGTGGATAGCCAAAATCACGGATAGAAAGTTCATGAATAACGAGGGAATACCATACAGTCTGCCGCCCCCTTATCTCTCATACCCCTTTTCCACTGGCACATCCGAGCCCTCACGGTACGCGTGGCTCTCTCCACTGGCTATTTGTCGAGCCGACCCACATCCAAATCATCAAACTCTAGCCTCACGAGGTATCTTGAAGGTGGTTCAGGGGCCAAGCAGGGCCACGGGCAAGGTGAATCATTTTCGTAATACAACGTCGTCTCGCGCAATGCATGCGACGTCAGTGGCATGGCTCTGGTTCTGCAGTGGAAATAATAACCCTGCGCCATCTGAGCCATGCCGGGCCAGCTCGGTACTTGTGCTGGAGTGGCTCGGTCGTGCGGTGGAAAAAAGGTGCATCGGTGACGTTTTGGGTAAAGGTGCGGCCGTGCATACAGCGTGCGGTCGTGTGGCTCGCGGTCGGCAGGCAGGCCCTCCTCGAAGGCCACGTCCGTGAAGTGCGCGGCGTGGAACTCGGCGAGGTCCACGGGGCAGGAGCGTAACGTCGAGCCGCGCAAGCGCCATAGCCGCACACTGCCCCGGCCACACGACACCATCCTGCGCGCGAGCAGCACCGACCCATCAGTGGAGCGCGACATACGGTCAGCAACCACAACCTGGGCGCGCTAAGCTGGCATGGCAGCTCAGAGGTTAGAGAGCCCAGTCGGCATCGCTGAGATGCTGGGTTACTGGACATCTTTGAAAAAATCTTTATAGCTCATTGGATTCCTCCCATATAAATACATATTTGGATTCTGTGTTCAAATGCAAGTTGCAGCTGGAACAAACTGTTATC